ATCCAGCTCCTTGTAGCAGTAGCCTTGTGGTAGGAGCTTATCACAGATTTTTTTAAGTAAGTGGCTGAATGAACGATCCTCAGCTAATATGATGAGCCGGGAGAGGGGTGTCCCTTCCTTGTATGTGGATAGTGTCTTCTTCAGGAACTCTTAAGAGGAAAGCAGAATGACTGCAGGATCTGCCTGAAACCAAGGGCTGGAGCATCCTTTCCCATTGCTGACTTGAGGGATAACTCTGCAGAGGGCAGGCGAGGGGAAAGCCCCGAGGGATACAGTGTCTGCCTCTGGGACTCACTTGTGATCAGATCTGTCTGATAAAAGAGGGTGGGAGTACAAACTAGGATTGAAACTAAAGAAAGGTGTCTACTGGTGCCGGCTCAGGAAAAGCCTTGACAAAATGAAAAGAAGTCAGTTCAATAATGTATTCATTTTACAAGATGACCATCATGATTGGGCACCTGCGTGTAAAGTTTCAGAAATCAAAACCCCTAAGAAAGGTTCTGCCTGGCACTGAAATGTGATGGTTCAAGAGCAGTGCAGTTTTGAAGAGATGGAGCAGAAGACTATGAGATCACCGATTGGGTGGTCAAATGTAGAGAGCTGATGAGGTTTTATGGTAGGTCCAAGTTTCTAGGTTTGAATTGCTCCTTGGAAGACTCACCGGGCAGCTAGGAGTCAGAATCGACTTGATCCCAGTGGTGTTTGGGGTGGAAGACTGGAATGAACGTAGCACAAGTGTTCTACCACAGAGCAGGACTGAGAAGGATCTGAAACATGGGTGGAAACCTGATTCCATAAGTACCCCGTCTGTTTCATACAAGAAGGACATGAGATGTGAACCCTAGCAGCATCCTAGCCCATCCCAGAATTGCTACGCTTTCACACTGTGCATGAGAAGGCAAGAGCTTAGAAGGAAGACTCCCCGGGCATGACAGCCGGCCTTGCCTTGAACAACTATTGGCAGCCAAGCTCAGTGGAGAAATAATACGGAAACTTCCTTGACCATGAGTGGAGAGAGCTCTCCCAAAGCAATTATACATTATATCAACCAGATAAAATTGACATAAAATACTCAAGGATTAGAAGGAACTAGACCTAGAGAGTAAGCATTTTAGAATGTTCCTTGGAAGTGAAAATGAACAAAAACATTTACTCTTCCTTCCTTCCTTCCTTCCTTCCTTCCTTCCTTCCTTCCTTCCTTCCTTCTTTCATCCCTTCCTACCTTCCTTTCTTCCTTCTTCTTCTTCTTCTCTCTCTCTGGATATATCATCTAGGACTTCATGTTTTGTAATTGGAGGCCAACACAAATGGAGAAACCTTCCACAAAGTGGACAGGCATGGTAGTCTGAACAATGGGCTCAAATATACCAGTATTGAAGCTGATTAAGGACTAGACATTTCATTCTATTATTCCTAAGATTGCCACCCGTTGGACCCGACTTGGTGGCAACTAACAATGACGCCTCAGCATGGATCTGAGCCACACCATCACTCCCCAAACCACACCTGCGCGGTGCAGTAACTTCAGCGTCTACAAGTGAGCAAGAGAGCATGGCCCGCGGGATCGTGGGATTCCAGAAAGCTGCTGATGGGAAATAAGGAGGTGGACAAAAGCTACAGGCCTTGTCAAACCATGTCACCTCCCTTTCGAGTACCTTCTATGAGGGGGTTAAAAAAAAAAAGCTGAAACAACTCTAAGGTCCAGTGCTTGGGATGGGGGCTGAAGATGTCACCACTGCAGCCGAGTACTGGGGATGTCACTGATGGATTGAGGAATCCCAGAATTCCAGTTGGGAAGGATTACTACTAGCCAACCTCTAGGGCAGCCCAGCAAAACACACCTGATGCTGATATGAGCAACGTCTGTGAATGTGGACATACGCTCTGACTCAGAACCTCCAGATGCCTCCGTGCTATGCAGACTCCACTCCGTGCTCTAGCTTACTCACGTTCATTCCCGATGTCCTTCCATACAGCGGGTGGTTCCAGTGGAGGCGTCTGCATGATGAGAAAGTCACCATAGAAGACATGCGAGATCTCCACACACAATCCCTCAGCCCTGTGTGTGCTGGTGGTGCAGACATTCAGCACAGGACTGGACTTACTGATGCAGACTTGCATCCACGTTGCTTGTCTGGTGGTTGGTGCACATGGGGTTGTCCCAGGCCTTCTCTGGACATGTGCCCAAAGGGCTGTGGAGGGCCTCGGTCATTGTCCACTTCTTTAGAAGGTTCGAAGTCTGGAGGCATTCTAAAGAAAGGTCCAGGCATCCAGAGTGCCGTCTGTAGTCTGGGGGAGACTACCATCAGAGGTACCACCAACCTACTCCCTGTGAGGAAAACTGGTGCCCTGCCAGCAGATGAACAGGGTGTCTGCCCCATCACCTCCTTCCTGCTGCGGATGTTCTGGCCCAAATAATTTCCTGGATCAAAGCAGCATCCCCCTCACAGCCCTGGCCAGCAATGCGTGGGACACTGTGCGCCCATCATACTTAAATCAGGAAGGCACAACGCCCACAGGGATCTGAGGGTGATGGGATGTAGGTGGCTGGAGGAAGAACAGAGAAGGAAGCACAGCTGAGGGAGATGCTGATGCAGGTGGGTACCAGCACTCTGGAAATGATCAAATGGCAGCTGGGTCTCAATAGCGGGCAAAACTTTGGGGGGAAATGATGAACAACAAAAACCAAAACCAAGCCTTTCTGCTTTTAGAGCAATGCCATGGGTACCCACCTCAAAGCTCTTATGTTAGGCAGTTTCCCAGCTCCACTGGTGGCTCTTCCCCATCTTCCAAGAGGTGCAATTACTTGTTTTAGAGGGAGTTTGCGCTCAGTGGAACCAAGTTCAGACACCCAGCCCATCAGGAGGGAGGAAGGCGAGTGTGGGCCTGACCTTTGATCAGGGCTCCAATGGGACACTCCACTTGTCCACGTCCCCTGCTGCTGAGAAGAGCCACCTGTGGGCCATTCCTAGGAGCTATCTGGGGAGATGGCTTACTCATCCCTGATCTGTACTGCACTTGCCAAGCAAGCAGCACTCATCGTCTGTCGAACCAGGACCTTTGATCCCTCTCAGTGGCCTTACTGTCAGTGATTTTGGATACCTGGTACTTTAAGGAGCCCTGGTGGTGCAGTCATGGGTTCAAACCCATCAGCTGCTCCACAGGAGAGAAAGATGGTGGCTTGTGTCCACAAAAATCATGGTCTTTGAAGCCCTCTGGGGCCAGTTGTAGGCTGGACAGAGTAGTCTGTCCTGTAGAATTGCCATGAGCCAGAATGGACTTGGAAGCCATCAGGTTGGATTTGGGATACCTTTGCTTGGAGTCTCTGGGTGGCACAAGTGGTTAACATGCTTGCCTGAAAGGGACAGTGGTTCAGATACGCCTAGAGGCACCCGGGAAGAAAAGTCTGGCTGTCTACCTCCAAACACTCAGCCGTGGAAGACTCGTCGGTCTGCTCTGACACCGATGGGGTCAGCAAGAATTAGAGTCAACTTGTCGCCTGGCACTTGGAGGGGGAGGGTGCCTTGACTAAGAGGTGGGAGGGGAGGGAGTGACTCTGCCCCTTGGGCCTGGCAGTAGTTTTGATAACAGTGGGTGGGATCAGAGCTCAGTATAACAAGGCTCTGACCTGGGGATCACTCCCCCCTCCCCCCACCATGTCCACTGGGAAGTCCCATTGTAAGATTCTCGGGGGAAAAATAGAAATGGCGGCCAACGGGAGGGGACAAGAAAGCAGCCTTTATGCCACAAGATGAGCAAAATGGAGCAGGTGGCACCTGTCCAACGACCTATGGGACAGACCACCACTCATGGGAGAACGGCCAGGAGGGTTTGCACGCAAAATGCCTTCTCCTTTCCAGGCATCTGGTGCCCTCACACATTTCTGAGTCTGCCCTGACATATGCACACACGTGGATAAGGATATAGTCCTTTAATTTTTGGAACTGAAAAAAAAAATGTCTTTAATTCAGTCTATGCTCAGATAACACAAAGATGTCCGTGAATCCACCACCCACCCGACCTCACGCTCAGGACCATGTACAAGCAGCCAGGGACACCAGCGGCTGTCAGGTAGCATCTTCAAACAAGTACTAAAGGAACGAAAGAGAATATTTATATATATATGTATATATATATATATATATAAAACCATGACCTTCTTAATTCCGGCCCAAGAATGACAAATCCCATGTCTGGTGGCATTCACCCAATGTCGCTGAAGGGCCACCACATCTGGGTCGAGGCTGTCCTCTGGGGTGAATAGTGACGGGGTACCAGGTCACCAGAAAGAATATGCTCACTCGGGGAACTGTATTTTCAATATATGCGATTATATGCACGTGGTGTGTGTGTGCGTGCGTGTGTGTATGTGTCTGTGCATGATGTGTGTATGCACGTGTACGGCAAGTTGCCAGAGTAGAAAACACCGGTTTGTTCTGTTCATAGCAAGTGTGTTCAATACATCAGATTTTGTAACTGATAACACATTTAAAAATAACAAAAAGGAACATTTAAGGTCTCCAAAAATTGCTACAATACAAAAATGTGTGTGCGCACGCGCAAGTGTGTGGGTATGTGTGTATCTGTTCATATGTGTGTTTGAACCAGAAATAGTGACGATTAGACGCAATCCCACCCCCCAGTTTTTGATAACATGTCTACATGTGATTCGCTTGGCTTCCTGCTTTGTAACCAAGTCTTCCGGGGCAGAACATGGCACATAATGGTATTATTGGCACAGGTTCAGAATCAGAGGACAGATCCCAGACTCCAGGTGTGTCCTCCTGTCCTTGTCTCTCCTTCCTTGCTTCTCGTCTTGCTGTCCTCCAAAGACCATCTGAGAGGAGGCAGTTCCCCATAGGCGCGGACATCTTTATAAAAATATATTTGGCCTACAGCGTCCTGCTCTGCCAGGCCCTCACTGGCAAACAGAAGTGGTAGTAGGTGCAAGGACCCTCCACTTTGATAGATTTTAGTCTTTAGGGTTTGTATTTTTTTTGTGTGTGGGGGGGGTTGGTTTGTTTTTTTGGATTTTTTTTAACAGGTTCACCAGCGGAATCCTGTGTGGAGAAAAAACAAGAAGAGGTTAATAACAGCTGGTCAACAGCAGGAGAAGGGAACGCTGGAGCGATGGATGTACACCTTTTCACCCCCAATCTCTCTCCTTCTGGCTGACAGGCACCAACACCTCTGCAGAATAAGAGGTGTGTTTTCTAGAACTAGTCACCTGAACGCGGTACACATGCTAGGGATGCCAGGGACCCAACACGGGACCAGGTGCTCAGCACAGTCACCCCAGGCAAGGAGGTGGGGACCTTTCAGCTGGGGCACCCCCTCCATGGATAAAGCATGCATGGCTGTCCACCCACCAGGGCCTCCACTGTGCCCTTCCCCACCCATCCTGCCTCCAGATCATGCCACATGAAGGACAGAAGGGCAGTGCTGCTGCCCGCCCCAGCGCCTGCACTGCAGGAAGAAATGAAGACGATTTCCATCGGCTGATGAGCTGGCAGTCCCGAGAAACTCCCCAAGAGGTGAGCCTCGGAACAAGGCTAGCAAAACTGAAAGCACCACAGGGGGAGGCAGGCTGGTGGCTACAATGTCTGGGTTCCCAGGGTAGTGAGGAAGCAGGCTGTTCTTGTCTATTCTGGGTGTGTCTCGGAAAATGGGAGCCCCCAGGCGTCCCGGCTTGGGCAGAGCTATGACCGCAGGAAACTTCCTCTGGTTCGCTGCTGTGAAGAGGGCCCTGCTCAGAGGGTGACTCAACATGCGGGGAAAGAGCTGCCCACTCCAGAGCCTTCCCCAGGGTCGGTGGTGGATTGGACCATTGGGAGCCCTGCGAGTTTGATGAGCTGGCTTTTGAAAGTAGATTGCCAGGCCTTTCCTCCGCCACTGAAAAAACGATCCGGCATTGTGGCATTCAGATGGTGGATACACATGAGAGGCATTGGTTGGGAATCAGAACCGGGTCTCACCCTCCAAAAAATAAAATGGAGGGTGGCACAGACCTCTTTTCAGTGCACCTGATGCAAAGTGTGGGCAGAAAACCCCGATGATCCTAAGATGAAGGAGGGCGGGCATGTCCACAGTGGTACCCTGGTGAGGCAGAGGCCAAATCATCACAACAGTGTGAACTCCTGGGCTGAGGGGATCCAGCTCCCGAGGAGATCTTGATGGTCTGCCAGGCCCTGGGTCCCGCATGGTAATCCTCGAGAGGCCAGGGTGGGCCCTGTTCCCCAGCAACAGTGATGTTCAGAGGGACTGGAGAGAGAGGCCCTCCCAGGCTCATGTCTGGAGAACGGTGTCTTGGGAGGAGAGCAAAGCCGGGCCCAGAATGTCCCCTCCTCTCAGCCCTGTCTTCTTCATCTCTGCCAAGTATCTTAGCACGTGGAGGTCGATGCGATCTGGGCGAGGGCACGGATCCACCCCAGAACACTGCTCAGTCTAGGGAATGGAGATGCCTTGGTAGAAAGGCCTGGCGCCCCTGCCCACAGCTCACCTCATCCTCTATCGCCAAGCTTCAAGAGGCCTGATTGCCGTCACTATTCACCCCGATGCAAATATGCGCCCTGACTTGGGGAAGGAGTCAGCCAATTGCCTCTCTTCATGGAGTGCCCAAATCAGTCAACTCTGACTGCAGGCAAACCCCATGTGGCAGAAGAGAAAAAAGAGTCTCCTTGGGTTGTCGCTGGCTGAGTTCCTGGAGGTGGATCACCAGGCCTTTCTTTGGAGGCTCACTGGATGGACACAAACTGCCAGTCCTTTGGGATTCGCACCTGAATGCACTCTCCAGGTGCACAACCCAGAGGCCCCATTCCCCTGCCCCATCACCTCCTTGACATTGCTAGGATTTGGGGGGAATAACAGGGAGTTACCAAAAATGAAACCAGAGAGAAAAATGGCCCTTTCATCAGTCCATCTTCATTCTCATTTTCTGAAAGTTAAAAACGACATGGGAACCAAGGGTGGGGCTGGGGGGCAGGGTGGGCTCTGCATGAAGAGCTGCTGACTCTTTGGTCTCAGTGTCATTACTGACAGGGCTCCCTCACCTCTGGTGTATCCTGGGTTGGGGCCTAAGTCCTCCACTCAGCTCGGAAGGTTTTCTGCGCCTACAGCTGCCTGGGAACTGCTTTCTACCCCATGGTCTGACTTTAAACAGTGAAACTCTGGAAGGCAGTGAGGAACAGCGGTGGGGCCACATGGCGCCAGGCCGTCCCCCTGGGCAGTGGCTTTTAGGACTTGTTTCCACAGAGACATCGCCCAATCTTTCTGGACTTGGGTCGACTCCTTCCACGTCAGGCTTTACCCTTCCTCCTCCTCTCTGTTTTCTGTCTGATCCCAAGGAGCCTCATGCTGGTGCCCAGGACACTGCTGGAGGACCAGAAGCCCATGGGTGGGTGGCCTGGAGCTTTGGCGGCACAGTGGTCAGTTAGGTCGGGCTGCTGGTCACCAGTCAGTCTCTCCTCAGCACAAAGATGAGGCTTTCTACTCCTGTAAAGAGTTACAGTCTCAAAACCTGACCAGGACAGTCTCCCCTGTCCTACAGGACTGCTGGGAGTCCAAAAGGACCCAGGACCATGAGGCTGCTTTTGCAAAAACAAAACAGAAACCCAGTTTGCAGAAACCAGTGGGGACCGAGCAGCTAGGCGTTCACTTCTCTGCCACCTGGGCAGGTGCCTAGAGTGATTTTCCAGTTTTGAGAGGACATAGCTTTGAGGGTTAAAACAAAAGCTTGGTATTCCATTCAGGTATTATGATGTTCTAGAACAAAGTAGGAAGGCCTAACTGCATCTCTAACTTTTTGTTTTTCATTAGCGACATCCTCAGTGCATTCTGGAGAAGAATCACGATGCGCAATTTGCTTCTCGTTGGCTTCAGATGTAGGCACTTTCATCGTTCTCATGGGCTCTGCTCAAATCAGTAGACTGGGAGACTGGGGCACTCACGAGGGTTTTGGAAATTTACCTGATTTTTCATGGAAAACGGCAAGATATTTGCCTCACAGCCGATGGCAAGTGGAATCTAAGGTCTCCTTCCAGAACCTTCTGTATCACATTGGCTTCGTCCACAGAACAGTTGAGTTCCATGGCAGAGAGGGACCACCAGCATTCACGGCGAGGTTCTGGGGGCACCTGGCTTGCAGGCATATGGGCTTCCCTCAGAGTTTGGGCCCCTAAAGTATGTGCAGGTTTGAGGGAGAAGACCAGCAGATACAGCACAGCACCCTGCTTAGTCATCATTACAAGTGCATTCAGAGAGACCGGGCAGCCACACCACAGATAAATATCTCCACCAGGTCTTCAACCTTAATTACATGTTTTAGTATTAATCGCTATTTATTTAAAGGACAATAAATACCCCGGTAAATCCGGGAGATCTTTCTGGCGATTCTCTGCTCCACGTTCATGCCCAGGCATTAATTGTCAGAATCCAGGGACATTTAGAATCCAAAGGTGTTCCTCCCAGTGAGTGATAAATGACCTGTCGGATGTGTGGCCCAGAAGCCGGGAGCATTTATCCGGAGCTAACAAGAGGCCGCTTGCGAAGGCCTCCTGCCCTGCCCAGTGTTGACCGAGAAAGAAGGCTGGGAGGAGCTGGCTGCTCTGGGTCGATCACAGAGGAAGACTGAGAGTGGTCAGTGTGGCCCTCTGGGGGTGTCCCCCTCCAGTGGGAGGGAGCCCAGGTCTCCACATAAGAGAACAGGAGTCCATGCAGGGCATACACATCACCCACCCTCTCCCAGGGGGGCCACTGTGCCGGTGAGGGCTGCGTGGTGGACAGGGCTTCACAACCTCTTCGTGTTAGCTAGGATCGAGAGAGAGGAAAAGTGGAGCAGAAACTAAAAGCAAACCAGCTACCGCTGAGTCCACACTGAGCCCCGGGTAGACCTGTGCTCTGTCGGGCTCGATTGGCCAAGGTTTCCAAAGCAGGTCTCTGGGTCTTTCTTCTGAGCACCCTCCGGGTAGACACGCAACCCCAGGCTGTTGGTGAGCAGCCAAGTGCACGCACTTGGCCCCACGTGGGTGCCCCCCTAGCCTGGTCTGAGGAAAATAGGCACATCTTCTCCCCGAGACCCTGACGCTACCACAGTGGGAAAGAAGAGTCCTGCACCCTGCACCGTAGACAGGAAGGCATCTCTGGGCAGAGCAGTCAGTATAACGATTTTTCTTGAAATTTTACTGATGATTTAGGTCAGTGCTGTGCTGTCCATCCTGCTGGAATGAGCAGCCTGATCGGACATGCCGGCACTGACCGCTCCACCCTGCTCCAGGGAACCGAAGAGCAACCGCAGGTCTGCTGCCCGCATCTGCACCAGCCAACTGGGTTCCTGCTGGGGTCGGGACTTTCTCAGGCTGGAAAGAGAAAGGGAAGCGCTGTGGGGGAGGGGCAATCTAGGGCCTTGCAAAGGGATTATTGGGAAAGGCCTTAATTTGTGGGCTCTTCTGAGCAGCTCTGGGCCAGGCTACCACTGGCTGGTTCAGCCTCTCCCCTAGAGGCAGGGCCTGAGGAAAGTCATTTAGCCTCCATGAGACTCAATTTCCTCACCTGGAAAATGGGAATGTGGGGAGAACAGAGTGTGTTCCTAGATGCATAGAGGATGGCCGGCAGGGCCACACAAGGAAGTGGTGGTACCCCAGTGCACCCCTGTTGGATACCCCATTCCATTATTGCAATGTGCAAACATTGCCTTTGCTATACATCAAAGAGTTGGGGCAACCTTGGGTGGAGTAAGTCTATTGGCGCCACACTTCCAACGTCAGGGGCTGGCTTCGTGTCTCTGGGTCGAATGGTGGGCCTTCTCACAACATTCCACACTTTTTGTTCCTACTGCTGCTCGACATCAAGGGATGGCAGGACGGTGTCAACATACTTTCATATGCCCCGGGACACCGACAGATTCCAGCGGCTCACATTGTTGGGTACTCTCTTGGAATATCGCCCCCATGGAGGAGGCCTCTGTCTCAAAGTTGTATTTGAAGAGGCTCATGGAAGAGAGGGTGGGAGGGAGGTCATTGATAAAAGGAGGCCTCCAGAAGTCCATGGGAACATGGAAAAAAAAGATGAGAGAGATTTTTCCACGGGCTTTTGGAAGCTCCCTCATATATTGTCATGCATTTGTAATGTAAGGCATACCAAAGACCCTGGAGACCACTTGGCCCTGGTCTACATGAGCTCCCCAGGGAGGCTGAAGACCTCAGGCTTGGCTGGAAGGGCCTCCCCAGCCAGGTCAGCCTGCAGAGTGGCGTGAGTGCCCTTGGGCAGGCGAAGAAGGTGGTTGTGACGGGTCGTGCAGCCCTGGTACGTGGACCGTGAAGCATTGTGGGAAGACACGAGTGTCCTCTGTCTGACCCTTGGGGACTCACCGGGGACCTTTACACAAAGCTTCATTTCTATCGAGTTGGCTGAACATGATGCTCAGGGGAATCCTGGTGGCTTCCAGACCAGGTGTACGCACTGCAAACGTGATTCGGAGCAAACATTCGCTGGGGCTAGGAACTTCCAATCACTCCTTCCTTTCATGCAGCTGGGGACAATGGCCCCAGTTCAATGTCACAAGCTGGGACCTTGGGGAGGCGAGGGAGGGGTGACCCTTGTATCATCCAAAAAAGGGCCTTCACATCTCTGAGCCCTTTGCCTCTTCTAATAGAAATGTGTTCTGTTTCATTGTCCACATTTGAAGGTGAGCAACACGTCAAGTGTGGTTTCTGAGCGGCACAGAGGTGGTCCAGTGGTAGAATGCTTGTCTTCCAGGTGGGTGTGGTCCCTGGCTAATGTGCCTTGTGTACAGCTCGCTACCACCTGCCAGGTTACCCTGCATCTTCCTGAGTAAACTGGACCAGGTAGAAAAGGTCCGGGGAGCTACCTCCAAAATCCAGCCCGTGAAAACCCTGCAGATGAGAAAGGTCTGATCCACAATGGGCCATGGGGATGGCGCTTTCCACGGTGCACGGTGTTGCCGTGATTAGAGGGGCAGATGGGGCAGCAGCCAGTAGGGGTTAGGAGTTGGGCTCTGATCAGCAAAGGTCAGCAGTTCAAAACCACCAGTTGCTCCAAGGGAGAAGGATGGCGTTTTCTAAACCGCCAAGATTTACAATCTCAGAAACCCACAGGGCCAGTTCTCCGCAGTCCTACAGGATCGCGATCGGTCAGCATCAACTCAATGGTAGTGAGTTGAGAGCCTAGAAACTGGGTTCCCTTTTCAGGAAAGGTCCCTGCTGTCATTCCTGGGAAGGGATATTTACTTGGGGGGGGAGGGAATAAACCAAAACAAAAAGACAATCTGTGAAGGTGAGCGAAATGAGCAAAATATGCATCCTTAGAGAATCTTGTATGACAATTTTTTAAAAAGGAAAAAAAAAATAGATTAAAAAAATACGAAGAAGAAAAACAAGCCAACATGACCCAGCTCAGCCTTGGGTGGGGCTGCGTCCATGGACTGCCCAGACACTGTGCCGTTGTCGCTGAGGCAAAAGGCCCTTTGCAGCCGGCAGCCGCATGTTCAGAAGATTCAGCACAGAAGAAAGCAATTGAACGTTCGCATTAAAGTTAATATCATTGAAAGCAAACCAAATGTTCTTATCCAGCAGAGCGTGGAAAATGCATCCAGTTGGGGTAGCGGTCCCTGGCTTCACATGAGCCGACGTCTCAACTCTTCACTTCCTTTCTTTATCATTTGCCTTCTTATCTTGTGTTTTTTCATTCCAGAATTGTCTTTTAATGCCTCACGGTGCCCTCCTCCCAGTGTAAAGACCCGTGATAGGGGGCGGCGAGATGCCGGCCCACTTAGCTGCCGCCCTAATCTCTTTGTGTTGTGGGGAAATGAGATCTGCCAGGGTGGTTTGTCTCCTGAAAGGATTTTCCCTGGCCATCCAGGCCGTGGTCTGCGCAGCGGCCTCCCCTCTGGGCTCAGATGGCACCAGCTGTCATGCCAAAATCAGGCTCACGAACATCTGGAATTGCTCCCACTGGGGAGTGGGGGAGGGTTTGTCTAACATACGCAAGAGCAAGACTCAAAGCCCACCCACCCACCCGCCTATTTGGCATCAGAATTAGAATGTCATCGGAAATCCTCCCAACTGCGTCAAGGAGGAACCCTGTCATCCCGAAGGGGTGGGGAAGGTGGAGAAAGAGATGAAAAAAAGAAAGAAAGAAAGAAACAGAGAATCCCATTACCAAAGAGAGGTACGTACCGTGACACAGACTCGTGGCGTCTGCCCTGCCCCCAGGAGGTAAAAAAGACTTCGGCCAGTCAGCAGGAGATTTCAAACCATTTCTCAGACACAAAGGCCACAGGAATAAGATGCCGGTCAGAAGACGAGGGTCTGCAGCGAGCAGAAAAACGGGCTTGCGCAGGCTGGCACATAACACACAACAAGCAAGCCCATCAGGCCTGCGGCCCGGCATTGGCTTCTTAGCAGGCAAGGGTCCCAGGAAGGGCATGCTCTCCCACAGTCCACTGTCTCCAGCCCTGGGCACAGAGGCCCCCACTCCCCACCTCCCTGCCATCCTCAAAGGCTCTGTGTGCCCAGACACATGGTGCCATGCATCCATGGGCCATGGCATGGAGGTTGGATGGTTGAGTTTTCAGCCCATCGGCACAATCCCTGGAGTTTCTTTTTGGAATCTGCCAGACCAGACCAGGGCCAGAGTTTCTGCACCGAGAGCAGATGCTCAGAGCACTCTGTTGTACAATTAGGAAGGGGCAAGGACTTGCCTCATAGAATGGCTGCCCCATGGGAGGGTCGATGTGGACATCACCTTCCCAATGCCAGTGGGACCCAAGAGAGCATTGCCTTAGAAAGCTAGAACCCTTGCCAACCAATGCTTCCATGCCCAGGTGCCCCATCTCCCACTGGGCCCACAACACAGAGACAGACAGAGAGTGGGGCATCATGAAACAGAAACACCAGCTGACAACCCATCCCAGCCGCTCTCCGCCAAGGGCCCAGCTTGGTTAGGATGCTTATCCCAACCAACCCCACCCCACCCCACCTCTCTCTCTCTCAATGAAATGGTTTAAAAATCCTTTTGCCAATGCTTCGTGAACTTGGATTTCTGTGACAAGTAAGCTGCCCAGGTTTCAAGTGTGGAAACTCAAGTGGTTCAGAGGCACAGTTCTGAGTGTCTCCGCTCCACTCTCCTCCTTTGGGAGAACGTTCTAGAATCCAACATGAAGGCACGAGAGGAGGTGTGCCAAGAATGCAGGTAAAGACCAACCACTCGTTTGAACTGACAACACAGGAGCACATTAGCTAGGGGAACTAGGGCTGGCCCCAGCACCCCCAGCTCTGAACAAGTAAACCCTCCGGAGCAAGCAGCCTTTCTAGAAGCCTCCTCCGGACTCCTCCTCACCCCTGGTTCCAAGAGAAGCCCTCTTCCAGAAACCTCGGGCAAGTGTGGGCCAGCTCCCGTTCTGTTGCCCACAGGGGCCCCTTCAGTCTAACATCCAACTCATTGCTTCCTCAGATCTTTCTGTGGTTTAGATTTGTTTTGTTTTCTTAATTTTCAAAAGGATGCATGAGAGCATATTCACTTTAAAAAAACAGTTCATTAATCTTTTCATCCAATTCTGGACAAACCTTCAGAAGCTGACTCAAGGGTTTTCTTAAAGATTCCAAGGATTGGTTCGAAGGGCCTGTCTTCTTTGAGGGATTACACGTGAATAATGAAAAAGAGTATTCAATAATAATACAATAATAAGCATGTCTGGTCCCGGAGTCTGCCTGGTATTTGATATGGCTGCTGGATGGGCTGCTGACGTTTTATGGACGGGGCCCAGAGAGCCTGGCTCCGGGAGGAAGCGGCCAGCATTTATTGACCCTTAGATGACCAACAGCAGCTGCAGAGTTTGCTGCTGAGACTGGACCTTATAGGCGAGGCTCTGCCGCCACGGAGTTGCACCATGGGTGGATGGTGGCATTTGCTCCCACCATCCAGCTTGAGGGCTCTGCGTGGGGATACTTACTGGTGCATTCTCCCTGGAGGGCAAAGCACCTGCCGGGGCATCCCCACTCCACTCATGTTACCCTCTAGGCTGCTAGGATTTCTTAAAGATCACTGACCTCCACCCGACTACTTCCCTGGGAGGAGGTCTGCAGGCTCCAGAAGCGGCCTAAGGCTGTGCTTACCTGTTTCCATTAAATGTGGATTTGTACTCGCCCGCCGGGAGCAGCGTCTCGTCGCTGTAGACGGGCACGGATGCCCGGACACACTCGTGTGAACACTGCAGGGTCTCGTTATAGGCCGTGAAGATGTCCAGGTTGCTGGGCACCCGGGCAGGCGTGAAGTCGGTCAGGTTTTGGCAACTCTCCTCCTGCTGGTTTATCTTCCGCTGGTGGCTGTTCCGACGTGTGTTCCCGCTCTGGGCACAGCTGGGCAGAGAGAGCAGTTGGAGTTGGGCATGGGGCTCGGAGGGCACAGGGGCGTGGGCCGAGACCGAAATCCGCGCACGCACACACCACTTGAACACGGCACCTTCCTACTCAGGCATTAATTACACATCGTTTAATATGAAAGAGTAATTCCCAGCCTCTTTGGAAAAATCAACCACCATCTAGCAATCAGTTCTTTCTTTCTTCTGAGGAAATCTGAATTTGAAATGCGGGCCCTTCTTGCAGGGTGAATTCTAAGGAGGGGTGCAGCGTTCGGGGGGTGCTCCGCCTTGTTTGCTCAATGACTGGCAGCTGGGCAGTGGTACGGACTTGGTTCCCCCACAGGGGCATCGATGTGTGACAACCTGACTGGGAACAAGCCATGGCACCGGCATAGGGCAGTACAGGGGGCTTTGTGCGCAGGGTCATGGACTCTGTCTATAATTCTCTTTGGCAGGGCAGAACATCCTAAACGACCTAAAAAAACATGGTAAGATGCTAAAAAACACCCTAAATGCCCTAAAAAACACCGTAAAGCTGATCAGCTGGGGGCTCCCATCTCACAGTTTGGCAATGAGATGGGGTCTTTATCCCTTGTCTCCACGGATGTGTTTGCTGTTAGGGCCCGCCCCCCCCCCACACACTTGATGGCACGTGACCTTGTGACCCCACGTGACAGAACACAACAGTCCCATCGGGGTTTCTGGGCTGCTGTCATCGTTACCGGAGCAGATCATCAGTCTTTCTCCCGTGGGGCTGCTCGGCTGTCTGGAACCCCCGACCCTTCACTCAGCAGCCGAGCCAAGGGCGGAATCACTGCTCCGGAGCAGGGTGCCCACTCCATCCACAAAGGAGAGATGGAAGCCAAGGTCACACACAAAGCTCTCCACAGGGGTTCCCATTCCCATCCCCGGAACCCCTGACTCTCTCCAGGGACTCAGCAGGCCCTGTGCTCGCCGGGGCTGTGCTCCCTGACAAGCTTTTGGGGCATTTGCTGCAAACCCCAGTGTGCTAAAAAGTGTAGAAGAAGGCCTGTCTCCCCTTGTCCCAGTGGGTGACAGAGTCCGCTTTCTCCTCTGGGGATGGCACTTCCCTTCCTCAAGAGCAGTGCAGGCCTTCTGTCTACGCCGTTGGCTGCCTTACAGCCAGACCAGGGAGGGATCCAAAGGCCCTTCTCTGGCCACTCCCTCCTCAAAAAGTCTGCTGTGACCTGCTTCCTGTCCCTGTCCCCCATGTGAGTCCATCAGCCATCAGGAGATGGCTTCTAGGTTTCCCAGAGCAGCCTGGGAGAGGTTGTCCCAGAGAAGGGTTATCCCCTCCCTCTCCTCCCCTTCCTTGTCTTTGCGGTGGGTCCCTCTGCTATTCAGGGGATGTGGTGCTGGCTCTGCCCTTAGCCCTTCCTGTATCCCTACCACTCTCTGGAGTCAGCCCAGGGGGTTGCTGGTCGGAGGTTAAGTATTGAGACTCAGAGGGGCCATACATGCTGAAGGAGGCACTTCAGGCAGACAGGACTGTGCAGCATCCCCAACTTCCTCAGGGAGGCAGCAGGTGTGCACACCCGCCCAGCCAGCCTCAAAGTAGGCCAGCTTCCAGGAGGAAGTAGGCAAGGGTGGCTGCCTGCAGCAAGCCATAACCTATTTCTATGAACTCCGAGTGGCTGCCAGAGGGAGGCAGGGATGAGGGCATTGGCAGCCCCCAGGCCATGGCAGGAGGGCAGGCTCCTGCCTGCATGATGGGAGAGAGGCACTGGGCAGCCTTTCCAGGGAAGACCAAGAGGGGCAAGAACAAAGGCTGGTGCTTCAGCGGGCTCTTTGGGGCAGACTTGGTCCTGCAGAAGGGGTTGGGGGCAGCTGCTGCATGCTCTCTTAGAAATGAGATCGGGAAGGTGGGGCTGATCCCGTTCTGCCAAGAAAGCCAAAAAGATAAGGCCAACTCCCCCCAAAGAACAGAGGTCACGGAGTGTCCTCAGTCCCAGCCCCTACCACCCAGCCAACCTGGCCAAACTGGCCAGAGGCCAAAGGCCGCAGAGCTCAGGGCAGCTACAGGGGCTGCACAGGATCCTGAGACCCAAACGAGGGCACCGGTCTCCCCTGCCTGGAACTTGGGGCCAAAGGTGAAGAGTGTGTCCACTTCCCAGGGTCCCCACTGTTGTTGGGTCCTCCTCCTGGGGATTCTAAGACAGAGTAGAACCCACTGCTCCTCTTGGGTTCTAGTTTGTCATTTGCACGGGAGCAGATTCCCAGGATTTGGGGTTTTCTTCTCCAGTGAAGCAGCTGTTAAGCTGTTATGCAGCCAAGCATGTAGCCACTGGGTCAACAGTGATTCTTGGGGCCCCTGTAACCACCACCCCTGACTCCCAGGCCGTAGGAGCCAAGGATCCTTACCAATTTTTTAAGACAAGAGTTGTAATCAGGGCAGCTATGACCATGATGAGGGAGACGGTGATGGTGATGATCTGATGGACAGCCAAACCTGTAAGGGAGAAAGGGACACAGGGGAGACATGAGCCACGAGCCCCAAGGCCACACACGCAAGACCAGGGGGACCATGGCAGGGCCAGGTGTCCCACAGATGCTGGAAGGGACGATGGGGGGCACTGCATGAAGGATGGGGCTGTGAAAGGTACTCACCCTTCACCTGTTGGCTAAGGAGTTCTGATCCCTGCCTCCCGCCCAGTCCCAACCTGTCTCCTCCCACCGCCCGAGGCACACCTGTCCACTGGACTGAGTTTGTGCTTCTCCCGCCTCCTTCCCTTCTTTGCCATGAGCCCTAGCTTCTCCCCAGCCTCCCCTCCTGGGCAGGTCTGCTCCTTCATTGCAGGACCAAGAGCCCCAGAGTGAAGGGGAGAGGCTGAGGCAAACCGACCCAGGGTGGCCAGAACTCATCCAGGAGGTAGGAGAAAGGGAACATAGAGGCCCACACCTTTGGGGACATCAGGCTACGCTCCAAGAGGTGAGTCCCACCTCCCCACCAGAGTTCCCTCTGAGAACTTGCAGGAATAGACACTACCAGCACAGCCCACGTGGGTCAGCGTCCCAGAGGAAGATGAGAGATCTGGCCTTGTGGAGCAGCATTTCCTCTACAAGACGCCATGGCATTGGCATGATAGCAGCAATGGCACAGGTTCCAGGAAGATATGCTCCCCACCTCCTCTGCACCCCCCACCCCACAGCCTTCCTGCAGTGGTTCTGCCAACCTCAAGCATGGTAGGGCCAGAGGATGCGGTAGGTTGGGTTCCTGTACCACATGGCACATCCCTTCCTAGGGACACATCTATAGCATCCTTCCTGGGACACAGATGCTGGGACTATCCCCTGCTGACTCCTCTGGCGGTCCAAATTTCAGCCCCGTGTTCTGATTCCAGATAGAACCATGCTCTAGAGGCAGCAAAAGCAGGGCAGGGGGTTGAGGAGCTTTGTGAGGACAGCCCCTGGCCCACAAGAGGTGGGTCCCCACATGCTTTCATGCAAGATTTTTGAACACATCACCTTTCACCAAGCCTGGCATCCCAACACCAGCATCCCCTTTAATACCTCACCCTCTAGCCTCTCACAGCCAAGCACCCAGAAGGCTGCAAGAGGGAGATCAATGTACACCTGTCCCAGCATGGCTGGCCCCTGAGTGTAGACAGTTACTGGCGGCCTCCCAAGAACAGACTTGCACACAGATGTTACCTCTCCGCTGTTTATTACCACCCCACCCCTACCTCCCACTCCATCTGGCCCATGGGAGGGGTGGGAATGGAAGTAAATGAGTAAGAATTGGTGGGACCAGAAAACAAGCCTCCTCTCCATGTCCTCATCTTGAAGGGCAACTGTTGACTGCTGGGAAGGATTTATCGAGAGCCTGCAGGACAACCCCTGAGGGCACAGTGGAGTGAGTATACAGGCAGTGTGGCTGTCCCTTAATGCAGCCTTGCAGCCATTGGCTCAAGAAGCCTTGACTGAGCACCAGCTCTGAGCTGGGCAGTGCCTGTCCTTTTTAAAGTTGCAGCATTGACCCTTGCTTGCTTCCAGCCCAGGGCATCCCGTATTGTTGTTGTTAGTTGCTGTGGAGAAAACTCCAACTCGTGGCTGGATTATCCATGACAAGCAAACCAAAGCTCTGCCCCAGTGCGCCATCTCCTCGCCCCTTGGTACGTTTGCATCCACTACTGAAGCTATGATGCCAATCCATTTCACTGAGGGTTTTCTCGTGTCTTCGTTGACCCTCTACTTAACCAAACATGATGGCCTTTTCAAGCGATTGTTTTTCTTGATGCTATGTCTAGTGTAATGGAGCCAAAGTTGATGTGACTCATGGCCACTGAGTCGATTCTATCTCGTAGCAACCCTGCAGGAAAACTGTGACTTCTGGAGACTGTTTCTCTCCGGGGGAGTAGAAAGCCCAGTCTGTCTCCTGAAAGTTGACATCGCATCTCGCCCCGCAAATTCAGGTTCATTGCCATACAGCATATTCCAAATCCTAGCAAGCTTATTGGCCATGATAGAACTCAGCCACAGGGCTTTCAAGGCTGTAAATCTTTAGGAAAACAATTGGCCTGACTTTTCTCCAGCAGCATGCCAATTGCCTCACAGGTATTCTGCGATCAACCACATTTGAAACCCCGTGGCAACAGCAGCCTTTTTTTTTTTTTTCAATTGATGATTGGGTGGAAGTTAGAGCACAAATTAGTACTCCATTCCACAACTTCTACACATGTTGCTTTATGAAACCGATGACAATTCTCAGAGTGTACCATCCATCTTCCTACTTCCTCCCTGGACCACCTTCTTCTCATGGCTTTCTACCCCCTGCCTCTTCCAACCTTCGGAGATTTGGTTTGGGGAAAATGCTGCTCTTTGGGGCTCCTACGGTTGATTGTATTGAGAATTATATTCCCCCCTGTGCTATCATTCACTTTATAGGTCTATCTATTGTTTGGCGAAGGCCCCTTCTCATGCTGGGTTGTAATCTGATAGGTCGGCAGTTGGAAACCACCAGCCTCCTCGGGAGAAACACGGGGTTTTCTACTCTCGTAAAGAATTACAGTCTCTAAAACACACGGGGACGGTTCCTACAGGGTCACTGTGAGTTGGCATGGACTTGACCAGGGTGTCTGTTTTGTTGGGCTGAAAGTTAGTCTCCAGGGAGAGGTAGAGGTCAAGGCTTGAAGGGTGTCTGTGCACCAGAGTCTCAAAGGTACCACCAGTCTCTATCACAAAGGCAAGTCTAGTCTTTTTTTTATTATTTTGAGTGTGGTGTAACACGTTTAGTCTCCCTTTTGTCTAGGACCTTCAATCGTGATCCTGGTCAGAGAGGGCAGTAGTGGTAGCTGGGCATTGTCTCCTCCTTCTGGTCTCAGGATAGTGGATCATGGAGTCCTTTGGACTAATCATTTCCATGATGTTTTTATTTTCTTCAGTGGTTTTGTTGTTGTTGTTGCTCTGAACGAGAAGATAACCAATAGTTGCATCTTAGGGGGGGGTCTCACACATTTTAAAGTCCCCAGAGACCACCTACCAAAGTAGGATGTAGAACATCGTCTTTGTGGTCTACAGCATACCATTTGAATCAGAAGTCCTCCAAAAATTATGGTCCCAAGTCTCCACGTCCAAGTCTCTAGCTGTGTGTGTTTGTTTGTTTTGTTTTTTCAGTCAGTACTTAGGTCTCTGTAGGCTCAACAATACCTTTGGATATACTTGGAGCACAGGCATATAGGTCTGTAAAAATATCCTCAGCCAAACCTATCTATGTTTGTGAATGTATTCCTACTCAGCTTCCCACATCTGTTCAGCTGGCATGGCTACCTACTATAAACTCGTAGATGTTGTTTGTTATTACTATTACAGCAGAGTTGTACATGTATTAGCATCTGTCAGCTTTTGGAGACGACAGCAAAGGTGAATGCCATCTACCGTGGTTTCCCGTGTCATTGGTCATGCTCTGCTGCCATCGTCCTTACCCTACAGCCGATCCCTTCACCCGAGTTAAGACATGTCTACCCTCTAGTTAGTGATGTATGCTCTCTTCTCTCCCCCACACCCCTGCCGGCAATCATTTTAAAAAAGGTGCCCTGTAGTACGTACACTTTAACTTTTTATAATAGTCATCTCATACAATAGTTGCCCTTTTGTGATTGACTTATTTCACTCAGCATAATGTCCTCCAGGCGGATCCATATGATGAGGCATTTTGCAGATTCCCCATTATTTTTTGTTTTAACCAGGTGTGGTATGCTATAGGAGCCCCGGTGTTGTAGTGATTATGCATTGGGCTGTGCTGTGTATGGTAGGCACTTTGAAACCACCAGCAGCTCCATGGGAAAAAGATGGTGCTTTTTACTCCTGTAAACAGTTGCAGTTTTGGAAACCCACAGAGGGTCGCTGTGAGTCAGCATTTACTAGCCGGCAGTGAGGTTTTTCTGTTTTGTTTTGTTCTTTTGTTTGTTTGTTTGTTTGTTTTTTAGTTTTGTAGTATTGTACTGCATGCATGGGCTTCAGCTTGCTTATTCATTCACTGGATGATGAGTATTTAGGTTGTTTCCATCTTTTTGTTATTATGACTAATGTGACACACATGAGTGTGACTCTGTTTGTGTCCCAGCTCTTCTGTCACTCAGATACATACCTAGTAGTGGGGTGGCTGGATCACATGGCATTTCTATTTCCAGGTTTTAAAGGAAGGACCATTCCATTTTCCACACTGGTTGTACCATATTTCATAGTCACACCAATGACACATGAGAGTTTCAGTATTTCCATATCCTCACCAGTCCTTGTAGTTCCGTTTTTGAAGCCGTGCAATTATTACTGACGTGAGATGATGTCTTGCTGCTTTGCTGTGCATCCTTCACATGACTCATATCATGAGCATTTCTTCATGTGTCTGTTGGTTGCCTGATGTTCTAGGAGGCATTCTGGCTGCCCTTCTTCCAAAATAGCCTTGATTTTTCATCTAGCAGCTCACGGAACATCCAACATTCTTTACCAGCATCATAATCCATCATTCAAAGGCATCAATTCTTCCAAAATCTCCCTTAGGCCTGTCCAGCTTTCATATATAAATGAAGAAAATGAAACTACCTTAGTGAGGTAGTTAGTTTATTGTGTCAACCTGGCCGATAAACACATGGGGTTAATAGAAGGGCAGAGGGATATGTTGCTCAGTGAGCCTCGCCTTTTGAGTTCTTGGGTCTCTTGATTTCTGATGGTTGGACCAGGGTGCAGCTGCCTTAGCAGTTCCCTGCCTGCTTCAGCTGACAAGGCTCACTTCCTGCAAGACATCCCCAAGGAGAAGCTGCATGGATCTACCCCGATGCAGCCCTGGGTGCTGGAACAGCAGTGTGGAGACCCCTGCCAGCACTGAGATGCTTACACACTCACTGATTTGGCTTTCCTCTTGCAGTTGGGGCTCACTGCATGTGTTTTATGAGATGGGGGAGGACTTTGTGGATTGGTGTCGGTAATGCTGGACTTGTGGGCTTGGGCAGC